CACACACCCCCCCACCACCCCACCCCACCCGCAAGGCGCGAGGCACACACCAGCCCAATGTCGACGCCCATCGCCGATAGGAGCGTCGCGACGGCGATGAAGGCGACCGTGGGGAGGACGAGCGACGGCGAGAGCTCGAAGACCGCGTCCGAGGCGGGCGGCAGCGGCGCCACGACCAGCTCGACGCTCTCCACCACCTGCTCGCAGATGCAGGTGTGAAGAGGCGGGCTTCAGCCCCAATGGCGGAGCCCCGACGCTCGCCGCCACCTTTGGCATCGGAGGGCCTGCCACGCCCGACAGCGACGGCGACACGGGCACGCCGTTCGGCGGGAGGGGCATCGGCATGGGCGGCGGCAGCCCGGGGAAGAAGCCGGTGGCCTCGCCATTCATCGCCTCGCCGCTCTTGGAGAGGCCGATGGCGCCCTGGCTCGACATGCGGGCGGGGAGGACGCCCGGCGTGATCTCAAACTTATCCAAGCTGTCGAGCCGACCCAGCGTGACCGCGGCCTCGATCGAAGCCGGGTGCGGGCCGGTGGCCTTGCCCGCCTCCGCGCCGCCGCAGCACGTCTTGCGCGCCTCGTCGACGATGGAGGCGATCGACTGGCGGAGTGCCATGGCTTGGATCGGGAAGGAGAAGATGGTGACGAAGGAGAGGCCGATCCGCGCCGCGTTGATGATGGGCGAGGCGGGGTACGAGGAGAGGATGTTGGAGAGGACGCGCGAGCCTACGTGGTGGGTACGCCGACCTCAGGGCGGGAGATATGGGGAGATATGGGCAGCCTACGTGGTGGGTACGCCAACCTCAGGGCGGGGCGACGGTACTGTGCAGCGTGTTCAGAGCACCGCGTGAAGACAACGGATGGGACGACAGGGAATGCAGTGGAATACAGCGGAAGACAGTGGAATGCGTGTCCCTCTCGAGCGCTGGTTGGGAGACATGAATCCGCATTCTGCTTCTAGACACGAGATATGGGGAGATATGGGGAGATGCAAGAACCCGCATTCTGCTTCTAGGCTCGCGATCCAAAGGTGGAGTACCCAAAGCCGCCCACGAGGAGGTAGAGGGTCATCGCACCTATGGTGAGCTTGGTAGTGTAACAGACAGCGCAGCAGGGAGGAGTAGAGAAGCAGTGGAATCGTACAGCACATTGCTGTGACAGTGAATGGAGTGTCGTATAGCGCACCGCCGAGGGCGTACAGGTAGAGGAGCAGCATCCGGCCGCGCGTCGGCTGGTACATCTCGTTCCACAGCGTGGGGGTGGAGATCTGGCACGCATACGCCATCGCGAGGGCGGGGAGCGCGTCGAGGACGCCGCTCATGGTCGTGAAGTAGCTTGCCTCGCCCGGGGGGCACGACTGTTCGTTTGCAGACCCGTCGGTGGGGCAGGCGTCGAAGGTGTCGCCGACCTAGAAGCGAGAGATCTCCCCAGATCCCCCCGC